TCTCTCTCTCTCTCTCTCTCTCTCTCTCTCTCTCTCTCTCTCTCTTAGGGGGTAGCTTCTGAGATTACTGTACTCGTCTCACTCGATTGTGATTTCTCTCTCTCTCTCTCTCTCTCTCTCTCTCTCTCTCTCTCTCTCTCTCTCTCTCTCTCTCTCTCTCTCTCTCTCTCTCTCTCTTAGGGGGTAGCGTCTGAGATTACTGTATTCGTCTCAGTCGATTGTGATTTGCACTTGTGATCTGTTCACCAGCAGTTGCATGCGTGTACCTTTCAGCCTGTGCAGCTCTCAATTTACAGCTGAAGCCTGAAACAAAAGATTTGCAACCATCAAATGGGCTCCAGTCAAATGCGTCCGATCTCTGTTTGGCATTTAGTCAATTGTCGCTTGCATGCGTCTTCTTTTACATGAGGTCATGTAAAGGTGAGATCAGATAAGCAGGTTAGATCCAATAAGCAGGTGCCGTTAAAGAGTTCGATCAGACATCGGTTGGGGTGGTTGCATTTGGCATCCTCTCATTTGACTCTGAGTTTGTGGAGAGTGCTGTTGAATGTCCGCTCTCGGGTCTCACTGCGTAACTATCGCATGGATTCCGTCCTCCTGTGATCTCCTACAGATTCAAGCTTGGGGGTTCAACTTGACCACCTGGCACCTGCGCTTGAATGCTCTGACGTGGCCGGAAGTCCTTCGGCAGTATGCGCTAGCAGCCGGGTTTGGGCCGAAACGAAAGAAACCCGCTCCGCGATGTGAAGTACTGGATGGGGATGAGGTGAGGGATCGGCTCATTGACTACTTGTTTCTTTTTTGCATTTGAAAATGAGAATGGATTGAGTGGGTGGTGAAGTATTGTAGGACCGGGGCTTGGGAGCATGTGTGAAGTACTGGTCCATCTAGAGAGCCAAGACGAATGTGCTCGTCTAGTCAAATCTTTCTCATTGTAAGTCTGTTGATATTCGCCACAAAGTTGGAGAGCTGATAAGAAACCCGAGAAAAGCCGGCCTGTGGGAGCGTTAAGCTCGAGTTATGAGCGTCTTTGACAAGGAGGGCTGACAAATTTACAGTATTATACGACTATGCTGCTGAGGGTTACCCTCTCCGACGTGGATTCGAGGTTATGCTTTGTATGGCAGCACTTATCGCAGCATATATGGCAGCATGGATGACAGGGACAGTGTGGATGACACCAACGTACTGTGTATGTCATGGTAGTATTAGTGTGCCATAAACAAGTGCCCTCTCAATGGCACTCCTAATAACACATTCTTTGTTGTGTTCGTATCTGGAAGGGGAATGACACTGTTGATCCAATTGTTGCTACTAAGATAGAGAAGAATATGCTAATGATTAGCAACTGAACTGAATGAAATCATTTTGTGTGGAGCTCCTGAAGTAAGCATCTGTGACATAAATACCAAAACAGTCTGTCAGGCACGCGGTACACCATGCCATGCTGCCTCTAACTGGTGGGTGTTTTTTTGCCTATTGGCAAAGCATGATTTGCCTCGATCTTTGGTAGCTTAACTGCAGCATAACCTCATTCTGAGTACCAGAGCTTCAGCAGTCTTTTGCTCATCCATTCTTTTACTTTTGAGTACCACAGTGGAATTTCACAAATATCCAAAGCTGAAGAAACAGATGTTTTGATTAATCAAGTCAGTGGATACACCATGCAAATCAGCAGTTATCATGCCCAAGAAAAAGGATCTGTTGAACAAATCAAGGTTCAAACTTCTTAGACTCTTATGGTTGGGAAGGTGGTTGGATGAACAGGCTGGGAAGATGAGACCCCCTTAACTGGTAAATGCAAAGACCTGATCATCTTTCTGATGAAGTCAAGTTTCTTGAGCCAAGCCAAAAGCATGACCACTGCAACTGACAGCAGGAGGGATGCATAAATCTTAGGTACCAATAGCAAGCGCTTGACGAGAGCGAAGGAAAATTGTGTTGTGGGGTGCTGTATGACAAATTTGTGTACTGGCTTGTACAATTCCCCTGAAGAGGTGTTGTCACGATTAGTAGATTACATTTTGCACAGGGTTACGATGAACTTATAAAGTTAGTGTAAACTTGTTGACGTCAATACAACAGATGCCAACCTAGATGTGTGCCAAGTTTAACTTTATGGTGGGTGGTGGATTGCCCTGCTGCGCCCGCCTCCCCCCCCTTCTCCCTGCCCTCTTTTATGGCTGCCAGGAGAGCGATGGCGAGGATGCACTTGGCTTGCTGAGGTCAGGTGCAGCTGTTCGAGCGGCTGCACAGCATGTTCTCGGGAGGAAAGCACGGATGCTGCAAGCTCAGCGTAGGCTTCCTGGGCGGTTGACGCCAGGAACGGTGAAGTATGCGGCCTACCAGGTGCTGTCTGTTGTCGGGCAGGAGGGGTTGACTGTGCCAGACATTGCTGAGCGTATTCAGGTACTTGAAATGTCTATGGAGGATTATGATTTCGTATGCTTTGGAAAATGCAAGCCTAATTTGTGTGCTCCCTCCTTGAAGGAAGGAAGAAAGCTCTTCTACAAACTTCCGCAAACGAAATGCTCCTTGTCACACACAAAGCACTTGTTATGGAAAGGGAGAAGCAAACACTTTTTATGTTATTTGCTGTATCAAACCACTCGTTCAGCAGGTTGCCCTTTCCCTGTTAAAGTCAGGTATACGGGAAATGTCTGCCTCTGTTGCAAACTCGTTGTTGGTACTCGATCATCTTGAGTTACTGAACATTGAAAGAAACTGTAATAATAATGAAGTCGAACACGATCAATTTGAGCAGACCTTGCATATGGCAATGACTGAAGTCGATCACCATGGATTCACCAAGTGCGCAGCAGCAATCTTGCAGTAGCCCTTCTGTCTCTTCACTACTCACGCTACCTTTCACAAACTACTTATCCGACCACCGACAAAAAATTGCGCGAGCACGGTCCTGTTGGTCTCAAGGGCCCAGTGGTACCAAAAGACGTGTTTAACCCACTACCCGGCCTCGGGACTTACCGCTAAAAGTTCAAAGAAAGATTCACTTATGTGGCAGAGTGTGGCGCAGCCCTTTAAGGGGGAACAAAAAAAGGAAACAGCAAAACGCTTTGAATGCCACTTTCCTACCCCATGTCGGTGGCCGAGGTTATCTCCAAAACCAAATGCATTGAACTAATAAAGACTGAAAACGTTGCGATCACACTGCAAATAGTCGCTTGTGAAGCAATCCTGCCGTTCCGTGACCAAATCTCTGCCTGGTCTCACTACTCCTGCCTTGGCAGAGCTGAATTGGACTTTTAAGTACACGCCAACACAGAAGTAGTGTCACTGCACACCGGGCCTGATGCCCTGCAGATGGCAACAAAGAATCGATGCTTATGATTTTTTTCCTCCAATGTACCAGATTAAAAGGTGAAGGCCCGCCGGTAGCCTGGCGGGTCACCCTCTGATGGTGATGTTTGAACTGAACTTCCTGTCAGAGCCAGGTATGGGTGTTCTGATACTGAGCATCGTCCTTTACCCGTCAGCGAAACTGACAAGCACTGTTTTCGTGGTTGAGCGCAAAACATGTACGGCGTTGTACGCATATTAAATCGGTTAGATAGTGATGGTTGAACTCAACTTCCTGTACGAGTCCAGCATGGGTGTTGTGATACCGAGTGTCGTCCTGCATCTGTCAGTGAAACTGACAAGCACGGTTTCCTGGGCGAGCGCAGAAGATCACTACATAAATAACTATCGCTATTTGGCGGCCTGTGACCAGCAGCCGATCTGGGCCCTCAGTTTCATTGGCGCGCGGCGGTCCAGATTGGCAGTTTCATTGGCGCGCGGCGGTCCAGATTGGCAGCTGATCGTTTTAATGTCATCAACTCGCGATCTGGACCGTCCTCGGCGTTGTACCGCACGACCCAGATTGCGTGTTGATCGTTTTCGCGACGATAGCTGGGCTGGTAGGCCCTGGCCCAGTAGTGCCGCGCGGGTACTACGGGGCCAAGCCTACCAGCCCTGCCCAAATTCCAACTCCCCAGCCCTGGCAGTGCCGCGCTTGGCCGGAAGCCCTGGAGTTTGTGAATACTTTTATTAGGGAGGTGGCCGCAAATTCACACTCCCCAGGGCACTACGCGCAGGGCCACGTAACAAACTTTTTTTGGGAAGGGAGCCAAACGGCTATTCTGGTTGACGGCTGCCTACGCATGCCTACGCATGACTTCGACGCATAACTTCTACGTTACTCTAACTCGACTTCGACTCTCTACGACGCTACTCTATGCTACTGTGCTCGACGTCGACTCTCTATGATGCTACTCTACGCTACTGCTCTTGACGTCGACTCTCTACGATGCTACTGTACGCTGCTGCGCTCGACTTCGACTCTCTTCACCTCTCTATGCTCAACTTCGCTACTCTCTCTCTCTCGCTCTGTGATTGGTAGGGGGGGTGAGGAAGATGGGCGCGACATGTTTTTTCCCCTTCTCTCTCTCTCTCTCTCTCTCTCTCTCTCTCTCTCTCTCTCTCTCTCTCTCCCCTTGCCATGTGATACGCCTACTAAAATCTAAAACTCAGTGTTTCGCATTGGGGACTTGCATACGCAATGCATTTGGGAAAAGTGATGCATTTCGAGTTTGACATTTGGCATCGGAGACACATGCAGAACTGCTCAGCACTTTTAGTATTGGTGGATAAAGTCCAATTGAACTACACCATCAGGGCCAGTCAAACTCTTTATGAGGCGAAAATTGATGTGGGAGAGGACACACCAATTGTACTTGCTGTGAGCTTTCATAGGCTCTGACTTGTGCTGATGCGATTGTCCTGGTTGGGTTTGATTGCTTTCATGGCTTCTGACTTATGCTAATGCGATTGTCTATTCTGGTACCTGGTGGATTGCTGCTGGTTGCTTACGTCCTATGTGGGGACGGTGGGCACCCGGATGGCCGTATTGCAGAACTCTGGGCTACGGGACCTGAGGACAAGCCGCACTCCAGAAGCTACAATTGCTGGGGCCTTGTCTAGAGATCCCATCTTCGTGAAAGTGGCTCCCTCTCGTTATTGCGTGAAAGCCTGCTTCAGACGTGCCGATGAGGATGTTGAGAAAGGTGAGGACATCGTCAAGGGGGAAGGAGAGGGGTATGGTGACGATTATGAGGAAGGCGATGATGAAGGTGATGCAGAAACTGAAGTCGATGGAGATGAAGATGGCAGCGAGGACGGTGATGTTGTGGACGAAGATGATGGTGGTGAGGAGAGAGATGGTAGTGTTGACTATAGAAAGATGCGAAACAACAGAAGCCTCTACATGGGTTCCCTGAAGACTGCGGAACAAGAGAGGGAGGTCATAGGGAATGAAGATGCGGAGTTGGAACATAGAGAGTTTGAAAGACCTGGACGGCGTTTGTGCGAAGAGGAGACTGCAGAGCGATTGACACATGATGAAGGCGATCTCGAAGATGAGTTGACGAGAGAGGGAAGCCTGCAGCGCAACAGAGCCGAACAAGGGCGTACTGATGAGTGTGAGGAAGCTGAAAATAACAGAGATTCTGTCGGAGAGGGCTGTGAGGTTGATGAAACGGATCTAGGGGAGCCTTGGGTACAAGCTCTTATGGAGGGAGAGTATTCAGAGCTCTCTGTAGAAGAACGGATGAATGCCTTGCTTGCCCTTGTGAATGCAGTGAATGAGGGCAGTTTGCTGCGATCTGCGCTGGAGGTATGTGTGACACTTCTTGTGCTGATGAACACTCATTCCCCTGTCGTTCTCTGCTTCTTAAAATGAGACTCTCCAACCTGTGCATTTCCCTTAATGTCTCTCGTGACTCATCAGAGTGTTTTCCAATCCTGTTGCAGGAGCGTTTGCCAATCCCCTTGCCTATTAAGCATGGACGGGCTGTGGCGTAATGCTCTCCTGGCTAGTTTTCTGGGCTCTGGAAACGTGAACAAACGTGAACCTTTGTGCTGCAAGCACTGGACACTGTTTCCAACATGTCATGCGCGGAAGCAAACAATGTTTGGTTCCTTTCTTGTACATTGTGTATAAACAACTAAAACTAAATTACGTTGGACTCTGGAGAGGACCAAACATAAATATGGTCGAGTGGGTCCTGTAGATCTGCTGAATAGGACCTCTGCCTTCCGAGCCGCACTTCCGAGTTATGCCAGTCTTTCCACCGTGGGGGACCATTTATGTCCGCTACCTTGCCTCCCACCAGCCATACCCTTGCTAAATTAGCTTTTGATTTTCTGCTGCAGATCCTGATTGTCCGGCATGGAGTGCTTCGTTTTCTGCCATTTGCAGAGAATCTCAGCCTGAATCAGCGACCCTGTAGCCGCCCATACACTCTCTCTTGGACTGGATAGACCCTACAGAGTTCTGCTGCACCTTTCCTTCCATATGGACCACAGTGTGACGTCTCTGATCATGCTGAACCAGGTCTTCTCCATCTTTCGAAAGTAGCCTTTCTTCCTAAACAGTCTTTGAAACAGCCGAAACTAGCCAATCTTCTTTAAAATGAATCCAAAAATTTTGAATATTTGCTAGTTATTCTCCTTCCTTAAAGAAGTTGTGGGCCAGTCGGCAAGTAGGAGAAATGCAGTGGGCAATGGGAGCCTGAAGTTTTTTGTTTTGTTTTTTTCCGGTGAAATCTTGAAACTCTGCGTGATATCTATCGTCAGCCTATATTGCCCAAGGGGAGCCTGCGTGATGTCTATCGTCAGCCTATATCTGAGTGAGTTTTTTGTTGGGAAAAAAAGCTTTGCAAGCGCAGCACACTTGAGATTCTCTTTCGTACAGAACATGGAAAAAAAACAATGTTTTCTCCTTTCTTCCTGATTCATCATGGCAAAGAGGACGAGTGTCCCCTTGCAAATTATGTTCCTCCCGTATGGCAGCTCCGTGTGAGCCAGCGAATAGAAGAAATGCTGACGTTGTTGAATGCTGCTAGATGCTAGTAGAGTTCCTTCACGGCTCTTCCATTGCATGAGATCTGATTAATGCAGCAATGACAGTCGCTGCAGTCTGTCCGAATGACATTTAGCAATCGACATTTGTTCGAATGCTGTCAAGTAGTCTTCCCCTGATGTAAACAAGTCTGAAAAGAGCTTTGTACTCTCTGTACGGGGATGGCGACCCTGGTTACTACTGAACTTCTGGGATTAGGGTTTAGGGTTTTAGGGATGGAGTGACTTAGTGCCTTATAGGTTAACTCAAAGTCTTGGCTGATGATGGTTGTTGAAGTGAGGCCCCTTGGATCCATTTCATATCCTTCTGTGTGGATCCCTTACACTGTTGTCATGTATATCTACCAACTATACAATAACAAATGGGACGTAAGTGCCGGTGGAGTCTCTGCAGTCGGCAGGCTGCATTGGGGTTTCACTCACATGGTTTGGACTCATTTTATGTGTCAGTCTTCTCACAATTTATTCTTGGTGAACTCCTGTTATGCGGACTTCCCTTCGCAGAGTGGTTGCTGACTAAGGAGAAGGTAGAAGAGTAGGTAGGGAATAGCTGAGCCTGGGGGTGCAGATTAGGCCTGTCCTTCATCATGCGTGCTATATTTTGCAGAGCGCAACTCGACTTGCTGGATGAAAGTGTGGTCCTATCGAGTGTGTCTGTGGCAACAATGCTCCATTGGGGTTTCACTCACATGGTTTGGACTCATTGTATGTGTCAGTCTTCTCACAATTTATTCTTGGTGAACTCCTGTTATGCGGACTTCCCTTCGCAGAGTGGTTGCTGACTAAGGAGAAGGTAGAAGAGTAGGTAGGGAATAGCTGAGCCTGGGGGTGCAGATTAGGCCTGTCCTTCATCATGCGTGCTATATTTTGCAGAGCGCAACTCGACTTGCTGGATGAAAGTGTGGTCCTATCGAGTGTGTCTGTGGCAACAATGCTCCACTGCCTTCTTGAACCTTATTCCTGTGAACATAATGCCCAGGCGTTGTATTTGGGTTTGAGAAAAGGTGGCCTCTTTTACAGTTTTCAAGAGAGTTTTGCCGATTATTTTTAAATAGAATGGCCTTTGGAATAGAATGCCTGGGCGTTGTATTCGAATGGAACACCTGGGCATCGTATTCGAGTTCTTTGTCTGAAAAATACCGTGCTATATGAATAACCCCCTGCAAAAGAGCGTTCTATTTGAATCTTGCTGGTGAAAAATGCTTTGTTGTTGGATCCCTATCAGCATCCATATCACTCTTCATTGATGAGGGGAAAGGAGGAAGGGACTGTCTCTAGAAATACCAAAAAATTTTCTGTTTTTCAAGGGGCCAGCAAGGGCAATATTGTGCATGGTTTGATCACTGTGAACAGCGTGAGGTAGTGCTCATATCTACTCGCTGTGTTTGTGCTGGTGTGTGTTTGTGTGTGTGTGTGTGTGTGTGTGTGTGAGGGAGATAGAGAGAGAGAGGGAGAGAGAGAGAGAGAGAGAGAGAGAGCTTACGGAAACATAAAACACAGCAAAATAAATTCTACCGCCTTTGACTGTAGAGAACACCCTGGCGTTTTTTGGGCAAGGGCTGCCGAATTTCGAATTCCCCTCCCTTCTGCAAATCCCACACAGCTGCGGAATTCGAAATTTGGCAGCCCTTGCCCCCCAAAAAAATTATTGGGCCCAGGGCGCGGCTGGTTTCCGAACTCGCGTGGTGAGTTGAACATTTTTGCCGGGGGGGGGGGGGCGTCTAAGAAATTACGAAGCCCCTATTTTTTTATTTATTTATCGGGATTCAGGACCTTAATTTTTCTGGTGCGTTGCACACTGCATGCGCAAATACGCACACCGAGTTGCATCGCAACTACGGTCAGCGCTCAGCAGCATGCGACAACAGAGAACAGGCCCGAGTGCTGCAGTTTTCAAATCCGTTCGAAGGTGAATCAGCAGTACTGGTAGTTTGGCAGGCCTGGTTTCCCCTCTGTACATTGTCCTGGTCTTTTTTGGTTTGGTGGTCGTGTCTGTGTGAAAGAAATGAGGAGTGAGTTCAATCGACGGCTACCAATGCTGTTCGCTGGCTGAGTAGCTTGTTTCCTTACGAACTCCATGCCCCCTCCCC